GTTGGTAATGACATCGAATAGATCACCCTGAAGCCTTTTTCCATCATAATATCGACCTAGTTTATTACTCGTATTTAACAAATTGCTGGCCATTGTTTCGCAGCATCAAAACAATGGTTGGGCCTGTGTGCAGCCCAGTAGAAAACGTCTGGGCTATTCTTACCCAAAAGGTGCACCAACACTTCAGAGTTTGCGCCACAAAACTTAAGTTAAAGGCATTGTTGATTACGGGAACGAGGGGGGGGGGATTATACGGACACGGACATGATTTGAGCTCTTAGACAAAGTAACAAAGTATCTTCAATAGTTAAAGTCCATGGGGATGCAATATTTTGATCACGATGAAAATTCTGTTTTTTCTACATATTTTCGTTAATATTGAAGATAATTTCATGAAATTTCGATTTTTCACTCGGTTACTAGCTAGATTCTCGAAAAATGGCGATATTCATGCATGATTCCGAAATCCAGGGTGGGGTCAGGTGCAATACTTTGGTCCCGGGGTGTATACTGGCCACAGCTCCTCTCATGTAGTAATCACTAGATGTCCTGTGATGAGTTGTCTTAATGGGGTTATTACTCACTTTTGGCTTACTCGTAAAAGGCACTGCGACTCACAGCTTCTTCCATTTGAGAAGTTTTAGATTGTAAAATACACTACTATTTCTGTAAGTATTTTTTACANTAGATAATTCGATCGGCAGGGCAGAGTTTTGAAGGGTGGAGTGCGATTTTTCGATGACCGAAGTTGAAATGTTTTCAAGTGTAACAAAGATTCAAGAAGTTTTATCAGAGGGTCTTACGTATCTCAAGTTCAAACCGGACTGTGGGAAGTCTCTCGATTCTTACGGCGTTCATCGTTAAAACAACAGGTGAATGCAACTCAACTAGGTCCGTTTGTGCTGTGATATCTATGTTGTTTAGGACATCCATCAGCTTGCACGAGACAACCGGAACAAACGAGGGGGCAAACAAATGCACCATTCACGGCTGCACAGACTGCCTGAAAAGATCAGTCGATGCGCTCACTCGAGTCAGACAAGCATGCGCACGCATCAGTTAGCAATGGTTCGATTTTAATTTCTGTTCCGATATGTGTTGCCCCATCGAGACCATATCTATACGCAAGACAGATTTTCACTGCCTCTTCTAAAACGTCTTTGCCATGATAAGGAAAAGGCATATGTCGTTTACCTAAATGACTATCAATTATCATCAAAGCAGAGATAAAGCACTTCAATCGGATGTATGTTCAGACCATTTTGGGCAAAGAGTTGCCGCGAGATGTGATCGCCGTTGAGGCCTCTCTATGGCACACGTGGGAGCTCCAGTCCTGACGTCGAAGAACTGAATCCACAATTTTCTGCCTCCTCTGGTTCGCTTCGTCGGTTTGCGCAACCGCGAAGTATGCGGTGCCAAAAAATCTTGGGTACCCATTTGCCTATTTCCTCTTCTCATTTCCATACCATGTGAGATGCATCCCGTTTGCGCCAACCATCGGATACCACTCAGTGTTCAACCAATGACGCCAACCACTCAGAGGCTATCAGATTTTTGAAACCAAAATCTGCTTTGTACATAGCCGCATTTAATGTCCGCACACTCTACCGGATTGGTCAACAAGCCGCCTTAGCTAGAACCCATGAAACCTTCCAGTTGAATGTATGCTGTGTCTCCGAAACACGCATACAAGACCCTTTTCATTTCTATTTAACTTTGTTATAGATTTAACTCTTGAAACAGCCCTATCCTCGTGCGGGGATAGCGGCATCGGTTTATTTCCGAGTGGAAGACTGTCTGATCCAGAGTATGCAGACGACATTGTGCTACTAAGTGAAGATTCGGGTAAGTTGCAAGCTTTCCTGGATAGTTTGAGTGCTAGTGTAGCGATGTTCGGCATGCGCTTTGCACCTTCAAAGTATGAAATGCTGCTCCAAGATTGGGTTGGCCTAGTCCCCTGCCTCACCATGACCGGGGAAGTTGTCGATAAAGTAGACAAGTTTTGCTGCCTGGGCAACTACATCTCACCTGGCGGACGCATCACCGATGAAGTGTCGGCGCGCATACAGAAAGCTCGGTTGGCATTTGCCAACTTGAGACATCTGTGGTGCCGTCGCGATATCCGGTTGTCTGTGAAGAGTCGAGTATATGCTGCAACAGTTCGGCCAGTTCTGCTTTACGGCGCGGAGGCCATTACGGGAATAGGATAAAAATAGACTGTCGGTGTTCGACCACCGCTGTCTATGTAGCATTGCATGCATCTGGTGGGGAAACCGGACGAGCAATGCTGAGGTTAGGCGTAGAGGTTTAGGTAATCGCGGTCGTCCACTGGAACAGGTAGTCGACCTCCATAGATTACGCTGGTTGGGACATGTGCTATGCATGTCACCAGATAGGTTACCACGGCGAGCGATGTTTGGCGAGGCAGACAGCGGTTGGAAAAAATGAAGGGCGGTCAGGCTAAGACCTGGCATGAGGGTATGAAACCCCTGACCAGGAGACTGGGTCACATAGGTCTCGTTAGGCTCCTTGGCTGGGGACCCAGAGATCATGATCACCGATGGTTATAGACACTGAGCGATATGGCTGGGTGTCGCAACCAGTGGCGCTCATGCATCTACTCAATATTCTTGTAACGTCAGTCTATGAAAATGTGCTACCTTCCGTTTAAATCTGCTCTCAACATTCTAATCCTCATTCTGCTATTTTATCCAAATGGGCAACCAAAACCGGCGCACGAAAGTGCATGGTTATTGGCTGCAAGAACTGAACCGAACCTCTGGTCCCAATTTTCGACTGTCCGTTTTCAGTTCCCCTGAAAACCGAAACCCTTCGACAGAGTTTATGAATGTTTTTGGAGCAACTTAAGTCTAACAAGACCCACGGGCTGAACTGATTAGCCCCGATTTTATTGAAAACATGCGCTTTACACTTTGCAAAAACCAGGTACCGAATAGTTCAATTTGTGTATGTTCTCCGTAACAATTCCGGGTTGTTGGAGGGCTGTCCAGATAACACCCATCCTCAAGAAGGGTTCTTCAAAGTATTGACCGATTACCAAAGCCAAAGTTTTATTAGGTTGCTCTTTCTGTCCCATAGGGTTTAGTACAAATGGATCAATTTGCCCTTTATAGAAAGATAAGAATGTCACAAATTATCGTTGTTTCGTGCACCGCTACGGGTGGTAGAAAACTCTACGTAGTGCACACTATGCGGGCAAATTAATGACGCCGTCATTCTAGTCGACAATTTGGAGCGCTAATTTGAATGGGTGCCCGATGAAGTGAGTGTTAGGTTGCAAGACGAACGGTGAACGACTTGGGTGATTAGGGTTCTGTATCATTTGATACACCAAAATCAAGTCCCCTCAAATTCGACGATATTGTGCGGAGTACAGCCTTAATGATTCCAGTCTTTCCACATGTATCTCAGCCCTGTTGAAAGTCTCTGAAAGAGTGCCGTCGCTTATAAACAATCCCTTTCGACTGTCGACGCCGTCGTTTATGTTGTCCATTCTGTGGNTGGAACTGTCCGCCTTCTTTTTCTTGATTATACCAACGCCCTTGGTTAGCTTGACCGTCAGATTCTCATTCAACGTCTTGCTGACTGTGGCTCAGGAACCGACGAGTTCAACATTTTTGTGAACTTCTTCTTTTTTAGGATGCAGTTTATCTCATGTAATGGTAAGAATTCGCCCTCTTCTTACGTTAACTTTGGTGTCTTTGAGGGCGCCATTTTGTCTCCCTTCTTTTCCCCTGCCTACCCTACCAACTTGAAGGTCATCTGTGTTGTCCCACACGGGAGCGTTATTGAATACACTAGGTATATTACTGCGCAAAAGTTAAAGATTCATCCATCTGAATGTACATCATCACTACTGAATTGAGCGGATTGTCAATATGCTGTTGTCTGCTCTTTACATAAACACGTAACTATCTCTAGCATAACCTTCCTTTACTGTCCAGCTGGGTTGGAACTTCATTTTTCTGTCTTGCTTTTGTTCCTTATGACGCTTGTTGTTAGGAAAAAGCCACGATCACAATACGAGTATTGCCTCCGAAAGCCTCAACATGGTCGGAGGTGGGGTTGCTAGCCTGGATTGTGACTGGTCAGCTTCAATCGCACCTCGCAAAATGCCCCGATATGACCAGGTGTCTCAAATAACCCTGATGAAGAAGCCTTTCTCAGTGCCCTCACGTGGTGGTGTTCCACACAAAAATGAGAGGACGAAGGGCAAACATCTGGGGCCATAACTGGGTTGCCGAAAAACTGGCAGTTCACCTAGGGGTTATCTCAAAACCCTGGTTCTAAACAAACCAATAAGAGGATCACAAACCACACACACCTTCCTGATCGCGGTAGTGGTCACTGGCTCGAGTGGGCATCGAGCTGTATTGAACAATCTGAACGTTTGACTCCGTTCGAAAGGCGTAAGATCCGACCAAAGGGACACTGGCACCCAACGGATTGCGATTTTCACACACCATACCGCTGCCTTAGGGTTCAAGCTTCGGCTATCAACAAGTTCCGGTTGTGAATTCCCCAAGAAACTTCAGCTATTTTTACCTGGGTAACGTGGCACTTTTCCGCCCATTAGTAAATTAGGGACCTTTTCACTTTGCTATAAAGATTATCTTACCAAGATTTATTGGACGCGAGGAAGGTACAACAAAGACTAGTGTGCTTCGTTAAGTGCCCATATTTTGTCACTACTGTAGTTTGCTCATACCGTTTGGAAGTTTTCCCCAACAGAATGTAACGCGAACCGTTCTATCCTTCTGGGCACTACTATGCAATACTCAGCTTCGATCCATGTTTAGGACAGAAATTTATCTTGCGCTGTGTATAATTCCGTGGGCTGCCACCAAAGAACCAAAACTAGTATCACGGGTGTGATCAATATGAAAAACCACAAGATAGGTTCAGCCAATTCGCGTGAGAAAAGGTATGTTCAAGACATAATGCATCACACACAGACACAAACACACAAGAAACAAAGATTAAAAAACGTACTCATCTAACGTGCTTCGATCACTGGTGATCAGCTCATTCTCGCTGATCACGAATGGAGGTAAATTGTGTGCTTTTGAACCGTGTCGCACTTTCACAGTCGCTGTGATCCCACACGATGTATGTGGACTCTTTGAAGCGAAATGTGAGGATAGGCGACTGTATTCGGTCATGTGCGGTTTACTCACTGGATCTGAAGGTGAGAGCCGTGGGGTTGGGGATGAAGGAGAGGTGGCAGATGGGACGCCTAGGAGAGGTGAAGTGCGCGTTAACCGTTCCATGAGTCCCGGATTAACATTCAATGGACCTAGCGGATTCGAGTAGGCATCGTGGTGGGACCGGTTCACACTTGACCGTTTAGTGGGCATAATCAGACTGCGCGGAGCTCCACCGCTCAATCGATCTGCGGTCCAATTAAGCTGCTTGGACTGTAACACCCCGGTGGTTTTATTTGGTGTCCAGGCAAGATGGGACATACCGGCGCTCAAATCACCAAGCCCAATCGGGTCTGAATCGTCAGGATGATTTTCCGGATCCCCTCCGAAACTGATTCGAGGACTCAGACGATTATGTGGAGAAGCCGTGAGGGTGTCGGACTGTTGAGTGAGAACCATGTGCGTTTTCCATGCAGTCAATGGCACTGCTGGAGGGGACTGTGGGGTGGAACAGAGAGATGAAACGGGATGTAAACACGACGCACTTCACATTGAACTCGATACTATGACTCATACAACGAAAGACTGAATGACTGACCAGTAATACAAAGTATAATGAATCAATAGAACAACACGTTATTTATTGTCGCATCCGGCCAAGAGAGAGATAAATTAAAAACAACTAGAAACAAACGATCTCGAAATCCGATGATAATCTGGGCACAGGTTTCAACAGAGAAGTATGATGATAGAATTGAGGCCCTCAGTGAAAATCCCAAAGCAGCAAAGGAAATAAACAATCTAGCACGACCACGATTTAAAAAGGGAGGCATCAATGGCTAAGGAGCCAACTTTTTATTAAACATACAGAGGATTTGTCCGCATTGAGGTTGATATCAATTCTTCGATCGATACCATTTTATTACTTGGTAAGGTAAAATATGCAGAGGAAAGGATAAAATCTAATTTGTGTGATAAAACAGCATCACTAAGTTCACCTCTGGGACTCGAACGTAAGAAGACGTATCATATAAGCTGAGGGCAGAGCTATTGACTACGAAGAAACTATTCACCATTTGTACATTTTCATTGTGGAGAACTGCTTGACAAAAGCCCGAATTAACATAAGCTAAACAATGCAATCACGAGAGGGTGTTCTGGTAAGTCCATTAAACTGTTCCGATATACATGCGCGCTGCTCATTCATGAACTGCGTTCAAAATTCCTGAAAACAAATTTCTATTCACTGTCTCCTCGGATCCTAAACCCCGATTGATTAGTCACTCCTAATCCTTCGATGAGAGTTAGAAAACGATAATCTGCAGATAGCCAAAACGCTTGTGAGACCAGTTGATAGAACTGACGAAAGTCACGTTCATGCAGCCCATTTTTCCCATCACTACCAATCCCTGTGATTTGATATCCAGTAAAATGTGACCGGATGATAGTAGTACCAAAAGACATGGTTACCGATCGCGTAAAATGAAACGAGGCAAAGAGAAAGTCAAGGTAGTTCCAAGAAGAGCAAAAAAGAACTCGGGAAGAATGCTTCAAGGACCGTAAGAGTAAAAGTGTAAACCGAAATTATTGGTTGTTTGATTTCGATAGATTGGACTGGTTCAAATTGCATGCAAAAAAGTTACAATTTAAAATCCAACGGAGCGATATGCAAAATAATTAATAAATTAGCCAAAATCGTACACGTATACAAAACTCCAATCAGCCAGATGCTCAAATATTGCGGTCACATGCGGGCTATTCCGCTTCATCTCTTCTTGATCTAGTTCCATGAAGGGTCACGCGTCTCTAACCTCTAATCTGAAGCCACTTTCTCAACGCCGGGCATTTACTTTGTCATCTCTCTTCTGTCGTTACGATTTTGGTTCCTTTTCTACAACGGTTTTCTTCCCCTTTGCCTTCGAATTTTCAGACGATCAGTCATCTTGATGAAGTTTCTGTCCACAGCTGTTGGACTTCTATCTACCAGTCCTGTTTTCTTCTCTCCAGGACTGTAAAACTGTAGGACACTTCCTACTTCTTTGTTCCCAACCAATTACAACCTTTCTCTCTTCAATTATTTGCCTTTATACATTAAATTTACCCCCTTTTGTTGTAAATCTGTTAATACGCAATAAAAACGCTGTCCTGTAGTCAATGTGTCAGGCTGGAAATTGCGTTGCGCCAATGAAAGGGTCAGAGTGCTGTTTTGTGGACAAATTCCCAACAAAGACGAAACAGTTGTCCAGTGCGGTTTGTTAGTCTTCAAAAATTCTTTGACGATGCATGATACGTTTACAATAGACGGCTCGGGTGTGTAGAGCGAAAGTACTAACAACTAAAATGTACAGTCAAAAGACGTGGCTGTGACTATGTGACTGATGCTCAACACCTGATGTCAGCAAGGTTCTACTCCAGCGAGAAGAAAATTGGAATCAGAAAAGTCCAAGTAAAATGTGGAGTAGGGGTCATCATGATCGAACTGCGAACCAAGTACCTCCATGTACACCACTTTGTTAATATGGAGCTCGTGAGAGCGGATTAGTCATCTCCCGCAATGCCACAGATTGCAACTGGCCGAGTGAATTTTGGGCACGTAGGCTCAGATACAAAGTGACACCTCCAGTGATGTTGATCAGAAAGGCACCTTCAGCGTTTGTATATCCCAGTGCACATTGCACGTTATTAGAGTTCAGTGTGGCTTGAAGGCGACAACCAAAAGCGGAATAGAGTTCGGGGTGAAGGTGAAAAATTCATTTTTCAAGATATTAGATCACGAACCGTACCTGCTCCATTCAATTTTCCTGTAATGGTACCCCAGTTACTTCATTCAGCTAGACCTGAAAAGGTCATTTCCCTTTGACTATCAAGCCATTTTCCGGTATACGCCTACGGCACCAAGTTTGAAGCTGCTAGGAGAAAACACGTGAGAGTTTAGCGTCAGAAGAGGAGAGAAGACAGAGGAAGAGGCACGACATGGCGGTCGCAAGGTAGATGCTAAGAACGCGTTCTCCGTTTTATAATATCATTGCGATAAGCATTGTGTGAGG